CAGAGCCACCGCACTGCCTTGAAAGGCAAAATCTGTCTGCAAAAATCTATTTTGTACACTCTTAAAACTAGAGCCTGTTTTCTCAGAACCAATTAACCTAGTAGTTTGTCTTTGGATTGCGAGAGGCAACAAGTTATCAGAGGAAACCCCTGTGAAAGCAGTGAGAACATACAAATTCCACACAGACTGGAATTGAAAACAGAGCCCCAGTGCTACAAGACAGCAATGCTAACCCGTTTGTTTACTTTTTCACAGGTAATTACATGCTATGAAGAGAGTTGTTGTATCGCATATTTCTTCGTCATTATTTATATGGAAAGGAACAAGTAATAGGTTTATTCCATGCTGAAAAAAAGAAGAAAGAGAACACAACGTTTCGGCCGTGGAGCCTTCTTCAGGTGTGTCATATGGAAAGGCCTGTTCGCAACTCACACAGGCAGGTAGCAAAATCGTTGTAAGAAAAATAACAGCTGTTGCTGTGGTTTAAAAACAAGGAATATCTGGAGACGTAAGAGAAAAGGGAGGATTTCATTCATGTATTCAAAACTAGTATCGCACAAAGTTAAATACTTGAGGGCCATCAATGAAATAAAGACACTACCGGGAGGAATTATAACGAAGTGCGTTAGGAAATGGGTATCTGGATACAGCCATAACGCACACTCGCAACAGGGAACCTCAGGAACTAATTCTGAGGCTTAAATCGATTTTATTGTATTGGAAATCGTTTTGCTTAAAAATAGATGAAGCGCGAAAAAGCTTTGAAGTTAAAGAGTCTTGTTTTTTAAAAAGAAGCATCTGCAATTTACTACACCTATTCCAGTCACTAGAGGGCGCTCCTCGGTATTGTCTTCAGTAGTTTGGAGCGGATGCAGTACCGTGATGCACCGCAGTACAGTTTAAAACTCGGCGTGTGGGGCGTGTATTCATCATTGGGTTGGAAGAGAGAGGGTGAGTGTGTTGTGGATCTGGTTGCGCGGGTGAGTCGGCGAGTGGGTGAGCGTTTCAAAGTGTGTGTGAATGTTTGATGGTTGTGAGTGCGACTGTTTGAATTGGGGAAAAAATATAAAAACTACACCGTGATCTTATTTGATCGAGTCGGGGTTCTGGTCCTGCTCCGACTTGAGATGATAATACCCGACATGCGAGCCGGTTCCTCCGGCGATGTGCATGAGGCATGATCGTTGCTTGCAGGGCCTTCACCACTACTTGTGGTTCAGAAATGATGAATTGATCAGATATACTAGAGCTGGGGATGTCTCGGGGGGTTTACCCCTCGGGCTTTTCCTCGGCCTGTGAGTATAGAGGCGATTCTGATCTGACCATAACCGCTTTGTACTGCACAACTTGCTTGGAAGCACGTCCTCTTCGTACGGAGACTGCTCGAGAGGCGGCAATATTAACAATGCGAAACCCGTCTTCGTCTACGTGCCTGTTTGTACGAGAAAATGTTCAGCGTGCTATGAAATTGGGTGTTCAAGGTACAGAACA